TAAATTAGTTTAATTTTTAACATTTCCTGAAGGTGTCATATTGGTGAATAGAAGATGTTTGACTGAACACTATTTTGTAGCTTAGGCTCAGTAATTTCTGTGAGAATAAGTATTCCTGAAAGAACTCAGTCCCTAAGCAAGGAAAATAATGAAAGAGTTCCGTTATCTCTGAGTAATTAGCCAGTTTAACAGATATTGTTCTTTACCAAGATAATTCCTATACTCCCGGTTATCTTTGTTAGGTTTTTTTTTAATTATGTTAAAATCAAAGTTAACTCTATAAAAACAATTGAATTTCTAAAACTATGAAACTTTCTTTCCCAATCTGCTTTTATACCATTTTAATTACATGCAAGTATTAAGGTCAGTTCTAGGTTGAGGAACCAGTAATACAATAAATAAAAATAGTGAAGAAACAAGCAAGGAATAAACAGAAATAGTCAAAGAACAAGCAAGGCAATAAACAAAATCTTATGATTACTCCTGGATCACTGTTTCTAAGGACTTACCAGAATGACCAAAATATCTGAGCCTACTTCCCTGTCCTAGCCCAAAGTCATTTTCATGCCTGAAGCCTAATTCTTTGTTCTAGCCTAAGATTTAGATTCCTGCCTGTAATTACTTCTTTGTACTAGCCTAATATTGAGATTCCTGCCTGAAATTACTTCTTTGTTCTAGCTTAATGTCAAATTCCTGCCAAGCAGCCCATTCCCTTGTCCTTGGTCAATGTCATATTCCTGCCAAGCAGCACCAAAACATCTCCACATCTCCTCCTTTTTTATTTCATAAGCAAAACTAATCCTGTCTTAGGTTGTTCTGACAAGAATGGCTTCCTTACCCATCATGAAATATGAATTATGCAAAGCAATGCACTTCTGTCTTAAGTTGGTAAGACTCTGTGCAGAATCTTATCTATCCTTGACTTGCCAGCCTGTTAAAATTAATAACTCTGTCTGGGGTCCATTTTCAGTTTCAAGTTATGTACTTTGGCTGCCAACACGTTGATGTTAAAGATAAGCTTTAACACGATGGGCAGGAATAAAAGTATTCCCAGGACTAAAAGGGCTAGCATGATCACACTATGTATGCCATTCTTGGAGCTTGACCAAAAAGGAAATACTGACCTCAAGCCATGGATAAATTTATCAGCAGTTTCTGCAGCATCAAAGCTCAGCAGAGCAGCATTCTTTAAATTCATAATCTCACTATGCAAACTTAAAATAACCATAGGTGTTAGAATTATGCCAAATACACAGTGCCAGAGTGTGTCTTGTTACAGCACAAGTTGTGACCAGAAGCCTCTGTGTGTGTGTGTGTGTGTATGTGTGTGTGTTAGGAATGTGGGTACCACAGTATATGTGTGGAGGTCAGTTTCTTCTAGCATGTGAGTTCTGAGGATCAAACTCAGCCCTCTGGTACCTTTACCCACTGAGCTTTCTCACTGACTCAGTATACTATTTTCAAGTTATACTTTTATAAACCGTTTTGTGATACACATAAAGTTTCAATTTTATCTAATCTCTTTATTTTTATTAGAAAAATCTTTGACCTTAAAAATCTACAAATCAAATGCCCTCTCATCTTAAATTATGCTTCTAATATTCTTACCAAAATATGTTTTGTATTCATAACACTTCATATCTTTCATTTTATTTGATGTTACTTATTGTGTTATATATTTTTGAGCCGACAGACTTTAGAAAGCTCTTGCTTCCTAACAAGATATCTATATGTCAAATAAATACACACAATGCTGTATTTGAAATTCATGCAAAGCAAGTAAGCAGTCCTGGAGTCTGCTTTCTCTTTTCATCCTGTTTTGTCTTTCTGGTCTTAAATTGGTAAGATAAGAAACTTAGAGAGGGAGCTGTTTTGTTTCTTTTAATGAGGGAAAACACAATCAGGTAGCAAACAGTTTTTATGCATTAATGACATAACTGTTAGTTAAAATTTATCTTCAAGATATGTACTACTACATTATGTTAGTAATACTAAATGAATAACCTTTTTTAAAAAATGTATTTTTTATTGGATATTCTACTTATTTACATTTGAGATTTTATCCCCTTTCCCCATTCTCTCCCTGCTCCCAGGAACTCCATATCCCATCCCCCATCCTGCTGCTTCTATGAGGGTGTGCACCCACCCATTTACCACCACTCCCTCCCCATGAATAACCTTTTTAAGATGTGTATAAAGTAAGCTTCCCTGCATTATGAATGCTACTGTTTGTGGGGTAGAATCTTCTGTAATTCTCATTATGAGAAGGAAAAATAATGTAAAGATATTTCACAAATATGTATGTATGTATGTATGTATGTATGTATGTATGTATAGTTATCATTCTGTATGTATCACAGTCTTCATGAAAATCTTAACATTTATCATTTGCATATGAAGGTTTTTTTTAAACAAATCCATTGTTTTGACCTAATCTAATCAACAGATTTTATGTATATCAATATATTTGACTAGCATAAAACATTCTATGGGTTTTTTTTTGGTTTTTATTATCATTGACTGTTTTAAAAAATAAAATTTACTTTATTAATTCTCATGAACATGTTTATGAATATTAAGATTTAGGGAGTCAATGTTTAAGTTCATAGCTTCCTGAAAATTATTTTATGAATTAAAGACTGTAGTTCTAAGTGAACTAAGTCTATAAAAGTAGTTTAGATGCTAATTTTGTCTTTAAAATATTTGCTTGAGGGGATCAGATATCACTCACATAAGGTTGTACTTAAACCATTTTAGTAATTTATGAAATAGACTTTAAGATACCACTTCCCTGGGTTCATAGACCTCAAGAATACCTAAGAAGTAGATGTACCAGATTTAGCAGTAGATGTATAGATGTCATCTGTGATTTTCCTGTTCTTGTATTCTTCTTTGAGTTCATTTTTTTAAAGAAGTAGGTATATACCAAAATTTTTTAAATATATGTGGCTGTGAATATGGACATTTCCAGGGCTGTATGCTGAGAAAAGGCAATCTTTTTATCTGTGGCAATGTCTTTCCTCCTTGGTCAAAGATTAATCAATTCTATTTACATGGGATATTTTGGGCCCTATTTTTTTCATTGATTTTTTAAAAGTCTTCAGCAGTGCTGTGTGTCATTTATGTATCTTCTTCATTTGGTTAGTTATTTAGAAAATAACTTGGTGGGGGTTTGTAAAGATTATAGTGAATCTATACTGATCAAGCTGCAAAGAGCTGGCATGACAATTGATCTGCAGTCACAATATAACTGGGTAGAAGATGCCTAGTATTTGTGCTCTGCAAATGAATGCCTGTGAAGACTTTCTCAAATAGGGTTGACATGTCAGACAATGAATAGTAAGGAATCACCTGTCCTTAATAAGGATGAAATTATCAACAGTGCAAACTGCTCCATTGAAGAAGTGAGATGAAACAAGATACAGGCTATCTTTCTTTCCCCAATGACTGCTTCTATTGCTGTTGCTACCTGGTGACATTAGAGTCCAGAGGTTCAGGTATTCAGCATGTACTCAATTTCAACAACTCTTCAAGGCTTTACAGATTAAATTGAGAATGCAAAGGCATCCTTTCTGGACTGTGAACCTAGTGCTCAGCCTCTGCAGCATGTAGTTGAGCACTGTATAACTTTCCTATTGATACCACATGAGCCAATCTAATGAATCTATTTTTATAATTTAGATGTGTGTACATTCTGTTGGCTCTTTTCATCTAGGGATCCACAGGGCGATTGGAATTTTAACAGCATGAGTTTTTGAGTATGTCTTCATTGTTTACATGCTCTTCAATCTGTTCCATCAGAATATTAGTCTTCTTCATATAAGCCTTGTAGATGCTTTGTTAGGTTTATATTTAACTGCTTTAAATAGCAATGTGCTTTCAATTTGAAACACCATTCAATTATTCTTTGTTGATATGCAAAGAGCATATTTTTATTTTAACTTTATACCTGGAAATTTCTTATATTCATGTTAGTTCCAGGCAGCTTTTATTGTTTGCCCGCCAAGATTTTCTGCACAGTAAGTCATACTATCTGTGAATAAAAGTAGCTTTATTTTTGTTACTACTTTCCTATATATAAATTTTATTTGCTTTTACTACCTTATTTATTACCTATGAGTTCATGTTGGGTATTGAACAAGAGTGAAGAGAAAAATAACCTTGCTTTGTTCCTGATCTTAACACAAGCCTCTGTTTTCTCAATATTAAATATGATGTCACCTGTGTATTTTTTTTAACTGGGTTTTGAGATGTATTTTTGCTTCTTTAAATTTACTTCTCATTTTTGTACAACACTTGACAACTATGTTTTCAGTGGGTTCTAGTTGGGGTGTGTGTGTGTGTGTGTGTGTGTGTGTGTGTGTGTGTAAAGATGTGGCAATAACACTGAAATGCTTTTGACAGACTAGTGGATTACAATATACATATACAAATATGTCTAGCTCCAGTGCACTGGAAGCTGTTTAATTAACAAAAAGATAGTATATCAAAGAGTAAGATGAGAAACCACAAATGAACAAGTATTATCCAAGGTAAAGGTGCTTTTGGAAGCATGAAAGACAAAATTAATATTGCATGATTTAAGATGAAGTGACAAAAATTAGGAATAAAATAGATATGTTTCATTGAAACTAATATAGAATAGGTAAAGAAATGATGAAACAAGTCTTGTTTATGATATGACAAAAAACTAACATATTTTTATATTTCAACTCTTGCTTTGCTGATTGTCCTACCATGGAGTTTATGGAGGATAAAGTATTAAAAACCCAGTCTATAGCACTGCATTTCACAATGACAACTAGATACACTGACTACATTTAGTAGAAATGTGGACAGTAAAGTGACAAAGATACTAATGAAAATACAAGCTTCAAAATTAAAGGTAGGAATGAGAAGTTCTTTCAGATTTATAGACGTGAGACATTCATTCTATTGAGCAAGAAATTAATGCTTACAGAGAGTAAGATTTTGACTAAGTGCCTGTTCTTCACACAGTCATGAACACAGAAGAGAATTTTCATGACAAGCCTCAGTCCAGAAGCAGAAGGAGGCATGATCTCCAGGAGATGCTGACAGAAGTGGGACTGTCTGCTGACTACTGGGTGCCTAAGCTACAAGAAGACCTAGGTGTGACCTCTGCCCAGGCCTTTCAATATTTAGACAGAAGAGACATCCAGAAGCTGAAGTACCAGACAAAACACACATGGGAGAAAAAGGCTCTGGAGAAGCTGCTTGACCTCTTGAAGCCAAATAGTGTTGCAGAGCTGCAGGAGACTCCAGAGAAGATGATAAAGAACAGGCAGAGGCAGGCAGGACAGGCACTACAGGATCTGAAAGCCTTGCAGTCAGAAGGGAAGCTCAGAGAAGAAGAAGCAGTGAGGAGAAAAGAAGCAGAGCTGAGGCAAGCACTGGAGATCACAGAGGAGTGCTGGCCAGTGCCTGAAGTGCCCCTAAAAGACATCACTGAAATAATGGAGCGACATCTCAGTCACATGGAACAGACCCTGGCTCACAGTCAAAACCTCTCAGATAGAGACCTGGTAAGATGGGCATCTGGAGGGCTGGCCCTGCAGGGAATTTATAAGACCTGCCACCAAAAAGACCTAGTGGCAAGGAGAGAAGCTCTTCTTAGGGTCCCCAAGGAATTCTTCCTCTTTGGATCTGAACAAGGTAAAAGGATAGAAGCAAAAGAATTCACATCTTCTCAGGAAGAATCCATGTTTACTGAAGCTGTCCAGAAGCTGGGATTTGGAGCAATGGTATCAAGCAAGGGTGGACTCTGGGGATTTAGTTCAGAATTTGGTATCAAGCAAAGCAAACACTCAGAATGGAAGGACACCCACCAGTCAAACTCAGAACATTCTTATTTCTGTTCAGCAAAGTATAGCTATGTGCCTCTGGCCTCCTTCCACTTTCGAACTGATCAGCTTCAGCTCTCCACAGCTGCTCTCAAGGAGTTGAAAATCATTGAAGAGCAACTGGAACACACTGAAGGAGCAGACAAATTCCTCTCACTGAGAAACAAGACTGAGAAATTCTTCAACAGATTTGGTTCTCATGCTAATCAAGGCCCTTTGCACCTTGGGGGAATCTACTGCTCGAAGGCCATTTCAGAGGGTTTCAAAAGTGACCAGCTCGATCATGTGAAGCAACAGGCAGCAGAGGCTTTAGACAGTTACATGAAGGGGAGCTACAATGGTTTTGGAGTTGAAGTTGGAGCCAAGACGAAAACATCAGATTCATATTCAGTGAGATCCTGCCAGAATGCAAGTAATCAACAGCTCCAAATCAATGTTCAAGTCTCTGTGGCCCAGACAGGTGGACCAGCAGAAGCAAATGGAATTGTCCAGTGGACAGCTGGCCTTCTCACAAGCAACAAAACCTGGTCTGTCATCGACAAGGGACTTCACTTGGTGCCCATTTGGAACATCATCCTCAATATCCACAGAAGTTATTTTAAGGATCCTCTTCAAGTGGCTAAATGTTTGAAAGACAACTACACTGCACTGACTGGCCTTTCTGCTCAGATACAGGATGAGGAATATGTGTATAGTACTGGGCAAGAAACTAGACTTTTTCAAAAGAATATGAAATCCCTAGAGGTTTCTGATTATGAGGGGAAACTTAAGATACTGATAGATTCCATGCAAATACTGCATCAAAAAATTAAAAATTATGCCATTTGGATTTACATGTTTCTCACAGATTGGCAATTGCAGAATTTTCTACTAAGCACAGTCAACATTCTGAAAAAAGCTGCTACTTTTATAACTCAATTCATTAGTGCCCAGGAGTGTAGACTCAATGACGGGGACTATAAAGCCACCACTGCTTCTTTGCAGATGAAAAAACAGTTGCAATGGCTCTACCCTAAAAAGAAACAGACTTATAACAAAAAAAAATCATGAAACTAATGCAAAGGAAATGATACAAGTGGGATCTTTCCTGGAATTACTCCAGCGTCTAGCCCTAGAACATTTCTACCCAAAAAGGATGAGCAGAGCTGACTTCCATCTGATCTACAAGACATCGGTACACAAATACCAGCCAAGATCTGAACAGGAACTTCCTAACTATTTCCTACAAAAACTACTGATGTTGGATTGCAGGTTGAGAAAGCTGACCTGCAAAGATGAAGAAGACCATGTCTTTAAAAGTTCCTTCTGTCAGAAAAATGAGGCTTTAGATCCATATGAAGAGTCCGTTGAAGACAGTGATGACATCATGAAGTCATTAGCCAAAACGTCACAGCCCCACATTCACCCAATGGATATCCAGATGGCTATTTTACACTGTGCAGATGATCTTGCCAGGCAATATATTTTGTCGAAACTTTCTATTTGTCAATATGCCCTCCCCCTTGTGGTGCCAAATCCTAATTCTTCTCAAATCTAATTCTTTCTCTGGTCTCTCAGACAAATTAGGAGAAGTTGGCAAGAATCAAGTGAGTCAGCGCAGGACAAAAGCTACAGTCACAAGGATCAGCAGATATGCTGTGTCCCTACCCCCATTGTATCCTTCATTAGAGTTGGAAATGGCCTCTCTGCTTCCAAATCTCAGATCATGAACTCTCTTCTCAGTAAATGTAAGCATGATGTGTTTTTTCACAGACACTGCAGAGGAAGCAACAAACACTGCCTCTTGATGGAGGGAGTGGTAGAAATCTGCTGGTTCTGTCCTGGAGGCCTCGATGATGACTTATTTGACAAGTGTCTGACCTTCACCAATCTTCATGGAGATGCCAAGGAACATAGACAACAACTCAGCTTCCTGCAAGATATCTCTTCTCTTATTGTGATCCTCATGTCAGCTTCTGATAACAATAAAGAAAATCAGAAGCTTATCAGACACCTCTGTCAGTCATCAACACCTTTGATCTGCTTGATTGATGACAAAGAAAATGCCGTAGCAAATAATTCTGGTAAAAGAATGAAAATTGGCATCAAGAATAGAAATGAGGCAGAATTAACAGAGGAGCTCACAAATACCATCAAACATTTACTAGAGTTCTCTGAAACTTCTCTCAGCATAGCAGACTGTTCACAGCTGACTAGAAAACAAGGATTTCTAGTTGATGAAGACCAGAGAGACTGCAAGGAAGCCAAAGAAAAGGCTGAGATTATAATGGCTCTATTATCAGAATGGAAATTATCAAAGATAAAGGAAAATTTGCTTCCCCTTCAGGGAAAACTCTGGCATATTTGGTGTAAAAAAGACAAAGAACTATATCATCTGACAGAAAAAGGAAATCGAAGTATTGAACAACATAAAAGTGAGATTCACATACAGAAACAAAAAATACGATACCAACAATTAGAAAAAGTCTTTCATCTCAATGATGTAATGCATTCTTTCCTGGATATTCTTCAAGAATATGAAGGTGCTTCATTCAAACACTACTTCCTGCACTGGCTGAGTTTGTTTCTGCACAACTTAACCATAGGGCATTTGGTGAAATTACAGCAAGAACACTAGACAGGCCACAGAAATTTTGCTTTAACCAAGGGAGCTTAATGGAGAACATCGTGCAGGAGGAGCTGCAGTGGGCAGATTAGCTTCCTTGAGATGGCTCACTCTATTGGGTAATTTTCCTGCAGATCAATATGAAGATAAACTTTTATAAAATAAGATTGTTTAGATGAATTAATGATTTTATAGAATTCCTGATGAGATGTAAATAGTTTTTAGGGAGTTAGAATAAATGATAGAATGTTTAAGGAGATGGCTTAAGTTGTTTTTCCAGATAGATATAGTATAGTTAAAAGTAAGAGTAGAATGTGCTCCCTCCCTTCTAAGGGCTGCATAGGTTAGAAAAGGAGTACAGTGAGCTTTCATGCATTGTGAGTATGTAATTGTGCTTGGAAGAGGAACGTCGGCTTGCGACAAGATAGTACTCAAAACATTCATTTGAGGTTGGGTATGAGTTCCTGGATTTTGTGATCTAAAGATGTAGTCACAGGTTTTGGTGCACCATAAAAAGGCAAGGTAATGAACAAAGAGTAAATAATTCTATTATGAGTATAGAATAGAGAATAGATGATTAGCCAGTCTAGCTGAACAAGACTTCAAAACTAAGATGTAAGATAGATTATTTGTTTCTTGGTAAATACAGATTGGTCATCATCGAACCATATGGAAAACTTGCTACTGTAGACTTGGCTTGCTTAAAATTTGTTATTCAACAAGAAAATATTTGTGGCTTTGTGGTTACTATGAAGAAAAAGATAATTGAAAGAAAGTTAGATGAGAAATGTGTAGTTAGGTATGAGTTTCAAAAGAGGAATACATAATCAACAACCTTGTTGTAATTTCCTCTTGTGTGATGATTTTTTTTTCTGTTTTTGAAGAACATGGGTTTTGGTGACTGTTTTTAGAAATTTGTAACTTGTGGCTATGAGGTAATTTTTTTCTTACTTAGAGAACTTTGTCTTAGTTGGTGTTAAAAGGCTAAGAGAAAAATAAAGTTGTTGGAGCTCACATGTTGGAACTTGCTTCATCCAGCAAGTATGTGAGCAGGAGCCTGCTTTACATCATCACCAACCCCACATGCCCTCCTTGGATCATTGATGTATCTAGTCTTTGATATCCTATTATCAATTAATGTTGCATTATAAATGAAATAAGTAAAAATAAATTAGTTTCTATTACGGGACTTGAAGATTTTCTTCTAAAATGATTTTATATCTCTCTAATTTCATATTTCCTGCTTTTTCCATATGTCCTAAATACATTAGTGTTATATTGCTTTGGCTTTTTTCTGCTTGTTTATTTTGATTTTGGCTGTTTTCTGGTTTTGTTCTTTTGGGAGGGTATTGTTCTCATGTGTTTCTATTTTTTTATATTTTTATTGTATGTTTGTGTGTTTGTTTGAAAGAAATAAAATAATAATAATAATAATAATAATAATAATAATAATAAAATTGTATTCGTAGGAAAATGTAGAGGACTTGAAAGGAATTGGGAGAGAGGGAAAATGTGATCAAAATATAACATATGAACCCCTTAGAGCTCACAGAGACTTAGCCACCAACCATACATTGGCTGGTCTGTGGCACTCTGAAACACATGTAACAGGGGACTGCCTTGTCTGGCTTCAGTGGGAGAACATGCACCTAATCCTGTAGAGACTTGACACATGAGGGTAGGGGGATACAGAGGGAGATGGGGGTGGGTGGGTGAGTGGGGACCACTCCCTCCATGGCAAAGGTGAGGGGGAATGGGCTGAAGTTCTTGAGGGCAGGGACAAAATGGGGGACAACATTTGGAATATAATTAAATAAAATAATTTAATAATAATTTTAAAAAACAAAAGAGAAAGAAAACAAAAACATTTTCAATAAAAAAAATGAACATAAAAGTTAAAGCCTGGTGTTATATATAGGTCTGAGAAGGAATCATTCCACAAATTACATTATGCCGATTGGTTAAAAAGTAGGTGGGGGAGGGGCTATGATGTTTGTGATGGTTTGCATATGCTCGGCCAAGGGAGTGGCACTATTAGAAGGTATGGTACCTTTGGAGAAGGTGTGGCTTTGCTGGAGTAGATGTGTCATTGTGGATGTGGGCTTTAAGAGACCCTCATCCTAGCTGCCTGGAAGCTAGTATTTTGCTACCAGCCTTCAGACATAGATGTAAAACTCTTAGCTCCTCCTACACCATGCCTGTCTGGATGCATGTTCCTGCCTTGATGATACTAGACTGAACCTCTGAACCTGTAAGCCAGCCCCAATTAAATGTTGTTTACATAAATATTGCCTTGGTCATAGTGTCTGTTCACAGCAATAAAACCCTAAGACAATGTTTAACAATGATTGTGAAATTGATATGATCTACAATCACCTAGGAGAAAAGCCCCCAGGTACACCAGTGAAAGAGATTTTTAGATTTGTTAGTCTATGTCCATGAGAGATGACAATGATTAGATTAATGGAGATAGAACGACTGTCTCTAGCTCAGAAGCACCATTCCCTGGGCTGAAGTCCTAGACTGCATAAAAAGGAGACAGTTCCCTGAGCACAGAGCATTCACTGCTCTTACTTTGTTGGAGATACAGTTCTCAAGTTCCTGCCTCTACACCTTTTCCCTACCCTGAACTCAAACCAGAAACTGAAACTACTCTTCCTTCAGTTAACTTTGTCCAGTATTTTGTCCCAGCAATAAGTAATGTTACCTAATTAGTGTAGGTATTTATCTGCTCTTAGGATAAAATAACCAAAATCTACTTACAGAAGAAAAAGATGGTTTTGGCCGAGGTCCCAGAAGTCTAAGAGTCCATCACAGTGGGGAAGCACAGCAACAAGAAGCAGGAGCAAGAAGCTGAGAGGTCACATCTCAACTGCACAAAGGAAATAGAGAGGGCAAACTGTAAGCCCAAGGGGGCTATAAACTCCTAATCCTGATTCCAGCGTTATACTTCCCACAGAAAAACTACATAGGTCTGAGAAGAAATGAGGTATGTCCTAAAAATTTATACCCCCACAAACAATTTAACCTGCTGGGGACAAACCACTGAAATATATAAGCCTATGGGCCACTTCTCATCAAAATCACAATATTCTTCTTCTGACCCCCATAGGCTCATGGCCATATCAAAATGCAAAATGCACTTAGTCCAACATTTACAAATTCTCCATACTATTTAATAGTCTCAACACTGATCAAAACTCCAAAGTCCAAAGTCAATTCTGAGACTTGAAGGAAATGCTTAACAGTGACACTATGAAGAATCATAATATAAAAATAAAAGTTTTTTTTAAAAAAGAATTACATATTTTCAACAATAGCAGAATATATGTTCCCATTTAAAAATGTAGAAGATGAGGGTATATTGAGGTGAGAGTAAAACAAAGCAAGGAGAAAAACCAGGAGGGAAAATATCAAGTACTCTACTACTATGTCTAATGTATAAAGTGTAGGTATATTTAGTCTCAAAGAACTTTGATGTGTCCAGCCCTACAGATTTGCTGCCTACAACATACAGTTCTCACTTATTCTTTTCCCACTCTTTGTATGTGGCTCCCCTTGGCAGATATCTCATGCCTCAGATATCTTCAACATACTGGAAACAAGTAATAAACATATATATATATATATACACATATATATACACATACATATGTATACATATACATACATATGTATATATATACATATGTATATAATATATGTGTATATTGATTTTGCATTATTTATTTATTTTTATTGGATGTTTTATTTATTTATAATACAGATGTCATCCTCTTTCCACATTTCCCCTCCCTAGAACCCCCAATGCTATATCCCCTCTTCCTTTATGCTCTTATACCATTTTGATTACATGCCTGTATTAAGGTCAGTTCTAGGTTGAGGGTCTAACAATACAGTAGATGCAAATAGTCGAGTAACAAGCAATACAATAAGCACAAATAGCCAAAGAAAAAGCAAGGCATTAAACCCAGTTACATGAATACTCCCATGAACACTGTTTCTAAAGGCTTATCAGGATGACCAAAGTGTCTGAGCCTACTTCTCCATCCTAGTCCAAGGTCATTTTCATGTCTGAAGCCTACTTCCTTGTTCTAGCCTAAAATTGAGATTCCTGTCTGATATTACTTCTTTGTTCTAGCCTAATACTTAGATTCCTGCCTGAGATTACTTCTTTGTTCTAGCCTACTATTTAGATTTCTACCTGGAATTTCTTCTTTGTTCTAGTCTAATGTCAGATTCCTGCTTGAAGCCTACTTCCTTGTCCTTGGCCAATGTCATATTCCTGCCAAGCAGCCCATTTTCTTGTACTTGGCCCATGACAGATTCTTGCCAAGGAGTCCCAAAGGCTCTCTGCCTCTCCCCCTTTTTATTTAATTAACAAAACTGAGCCTGTCTTAGGTCGTTCTGACAAGAATGCCTTCCTTACCCATTGTGGAATATGCATTATCAAAGGCAATGCACTTCTGTCTTAGGTTGGTAAGGCTCTGTGCAGAATCTTACGTGTCCTTGGCTTGCCAGTCTGTTAATTTAATAACTCTGTCTGGGGGTCCATTTTCAGGTTTAAGCCATGTTCTTTGACTGCCAACATGGATAATTTTATTGGCATTATCTGCAGCATCAAAGGTCAACAGAGCAGCATTCTTTAAATTCTTAATCTCACTATTCAAAGTTAGCACACCCAGAGAAGTGATAGGATTATGCCAAATATCCTACAGGTCTCTTTAAAGTTTTTTTGTAATTATAATGACAATCATTGTGAATTTCAAAAGTATCACTACTCCAGTGATATTTGTCATCACACTTGGGATGGCTCCTAACTCTTGAACCCTGAACCTCCTTCAGATAATTTGAATGGGTTATAGAGCATCATTAGTTGTTCCAGATACCTATATAAATCCTTTTGTATACTCAATACATTAGTAAATTTTTTTTGCTAGATGGTTAACAAAAATAGTTGTCTTACCTCCTTGTGTCAATGCTATTGGATAAGCAGTAGTGCTAGCAATTGA